CAGGCAGAAGAGACATTGGACTGAGGTGGGAGACATTTTTAAGAACAGAACAGCTGACTGCATTGAACACCAATCACATAAAGCAGAAGACAGCAGACTTCAGTTGCTATGGCTGTGTCTAAGAAACGGACGGTAAAAGCTGGGGCAAGAGTAGTTTTGGCAGAATGTCAAAAGGTGAAGTCAAACTCAAGAATGAGGGAGGGACTCTAGGCAATTTTACAGTCAGTGGATTCAGTGAGCTGGGAGCTGAAGGGAGGAATGACAGAAGTAGAAGCAAGCAGGTGGGTTACATTTCATTTACTTTATAGTAAGACTATGGAATCTTTATACAAGGGGGAACAGTCAGAGAAAAAGGAACAGACAGATCAGGAGACTGGATAATGTGGGTTTACCAAAATAAGCTGAGCTTTAGAAGAAAGACAAAAATTAAAACTCTTCAGTCCCTGAAACTTGAAGGAAGTTGGAGGGGTAAGATGAAAGCTGCATTTTGCCTTTCTTTCTCTCAAAAAAGGAACTGGCAAGATTCAATGTAGAAAGATAAGTCAGGCCAGGAGAAAGTTGGGGTGGCGTGAAAGCTACATCATTATAATGGGCTGCCAATTCTTCTCTGCAATAGCTGTTTATAATTTCACTTCATGACAGGCTGTGCATTGCACATTCACACTCTCCTATACTGGCCTGTGTTCTAAAGAACTTGCAAATAGAGTATTTTAAACCACAAAGCCCTCACTGAAGTCAGTCTGCTGCTGAAATCAAGTGATCCGCACCATTGTTCAGCTGTAATTAAACTGGAGGCACATTATTTGCTCAAACACTACTGTTTAATTTATCTGTTTGCTCCAGAAGGTGTTTTCCATTTTCCCATCATTCTCCTGTGAATAGACAATGCCTAGCCAATTTCCAGGAAGCAGTCTTTTTCTTTATTATTTTTTAAAGTGAAAAGCAGATGCCAAGAAGAACAAATTAGTTAAAATGTGAAGGTTTCCACAATCCCTCTGAGAGCCATTCCAGCCTGGTGCCTCGGGACTGTTAAAACCTCTCTCTAAACAAAAGCTGCTCCAAGTGTAAATCTCATTAACATACAACAGTCCTGCTTGACCTGACTTTGCTCTTCGGTGAAGTGATTGAAATGTAGACAAGCTCCAGCAATATAAATTTACCATAGTCTGACAGGCCAGAATCTGAACCACTATAACAGTTTTGGAAAGGAACTTTCACACTATCATACCATCAGTCTGTACTGACTGAAACCAAACTGAGACAACTGTTTGATTTTCAAAAGCTTTAAGACAGACAGCAGTTTGAGCACATGTCCATGTCTAAGAAAGGGCTGTGGCTGTTAGGACAGGGCCCTGATCAGGGCTTCATTGAAGCAGACGTTCATTTATGAGGCTTTTAGCTGTACTTTAGACACAAGTCTCAGCCCTGCAGCTCATGTAGCAATTACTTTTTTTCCAGGGTAAACTTCATCATTGCATTTTTGGCTGACACGGTTTTGACAAATAAAAAGCCTTTGCAAGGTTTGCTAGGAGCTATGAAACACTCTTTCCAATTGCCACTTGAGCCTTCACAGAACTCCAGAGCTAGTGGTAGTCCATGTGAAAAAAAAATGCCCTTTCCTTGCAATATAAAAATTCCTATATATTCAGGTATTGGATGAGACTACTGAAAAGGAGACATTAGGCAGCAAATATTCCCCACCAGTGAGCCTAATCAATCATATGTGCAATCCTGTACTGCCCAACAGACCCAGCAGAAGGGAAAGTTACAACCATTTTTTGCCCCCACTGTGAAAGCCCTGCCTGAAACCAACCATTTGCATCAGCCTCAAAAAAATGATGCCCTAATTACCTCTCTGCACAACAGGACAGACAGACAGGGCTCTTCTGCTGGGGAAGGGAATGAGGCAATCCATGCAGATGGCACATAAAAATTATTAGACCACAACAGGAGGTAAGGTGCTTATTTAAGGGAGTTTAGCATCAAAGGAAATACAAGCATCTGCTCCCATTTATTTCAAAACCAAAAAATGATCCTTTGGGATTGGCTGTTGTAAGTGGTTACACAGAGTAGGAGAGATGACATAGTGACACTATGCTGCTCAGACTCAATGACCAAAGTCACAGAGAGTGGGAGACAACATACCATCCCTCCCATGCTTTATTACTGCTCTGCACATCAAGCCGGAAGCAAAAACTGGCTTCCCATGGTGATGTGATGAAGACATGCTGAAACAGAGATTGTCCTGGAGACACAGTCTGTGATCACTACAAAGTTGGCATTGTTATTCCTCCAGCAAGTTCCTAACCTCTAGCAAGGTCTAACTCTCAAAGAACTCCCGCAGGCAAGCAAACACTACATACCTAACACCATTGGGAAGGACAAAAGCTTTCCTGAAAGTCTCAGAGATTATCTGGTATGCCTAATTTTTTGTATCATATCAAAAAATCTTTTCAGTAGTGTCACTACGTACCAAGTAGCTTTTTGTAACAAGTTGGTAAGTTCAGCTTTGGAACCAGAGTGAATACCTGGATGTGGAAAAATCACTTAATGTTTCTACTCCCTGAGCACAGATACCTGTGAAATTAGGACTCCTGAGTGAACAGACTGATGTTCGTTAGAGGGAAAAAGGGACACTTCTGTCAACACTCCTGCCTGCAGCTTTCTGCTCAAGCTCTCCAAGTTAAGAGTGAATGCAACAGAAACCAGCTCTCATCTTCTGCGTGCTTTTTTGCTGCCAGTTCCCAGGTTGGTGAATATAACATTGTCTACAGCAGTTTTGGGAAGTGCTCTTATTTCTGTGCACTGCTTTCACCTAGAGGTATAGGAAGAATCCATTCATTTTGGTGACAGCACCTAAAAACTACTGGAGACTGGGTTTGAGAAATTGAGAGCTTTTTCACATAAATAGCTTCCAATGAGACTGAATCCACATGGCCTCTTGAGTCTCAAGTGTAAGGGATCCTGCTGCCAACAGCCAAGCCAACAAGAGAAACACTGGCTTGTTTTCTGATGCAGTCTAGCCACATGAGCCTTTGGATTAATAAGCTTTGCCAAGGAACTATGCAGTCTTTGGTGTCCTTTCCAATGTGAGCTGCATTTTGTTGTTTAGACTTTGTGCTGATCATACAGGAAGACTGACAGAGCAAGAAACTGAACCTGCCATTCGCACAGACCAGCTACACTTTTAGACAACCCTCCCCCTTGATAGGGACTTCAAAATGTCTGAGGGTTGGTGAATATTCATCTGTAGCATCTGTGCTAACTTGCATTCTATTTGCAGGGAAAGCTGGTACTCACTCTCTTCACAGGGCTGACACCAGGGATAGGCTCACATACAAAACTTCACTCACCCTCACAGTTCAGGGGACAACCCAAAGCTTCAGTAGAATCTAAATAATAGGTAAGCCATGTGCTGGCTCTCTGCACTCAGAATATAAGATTTGCTTTGGTCACACTGGTGAATGGAAGCCATGTTTTGATACTCTTAGGTTTAATGGGATCCAATAAATATGCAAATTTCCAAAACAATTAAATATGCATGCCATGATGGAGTTGCATCCAAGTATATTTTCCAATTAAATAATCCCTCCTTGTCTCTGGCAGTCCTCTAACTAGTGGGCTGGGAAGACTCCTTACAGAAGCGATGTACAAAGCAGACACTCGTGAAATGGTAGGAATGGGTGTTGCAGACTGGCTGAGGGATGTCATTAAGGGAGTACCAGTCTGTATCGATGTTCGGCTTAACTATGGGCGCTTCCTCTACTCTCTGAGGAAAAGTAGACTTACATATTCGACAGTTTCCAAATGGCAGTAATGCCTGTTTGTAAAATGCCATTGTGACCTTCAATCCAAGGAAGCATTTGTGCTGATTGGATTGTCAAAAAAATATTTTAAGATCATGTCTGTTAGAATATGGGTTAGCCTTTGTATTATGGACACATTTATATTTGATTTATGGGGTTAATAAATTATTAATAAATGCTGCAGGAATAAGCAGTCCACAGTACAGAGGGCTACAAGCAACCAATTAACCTGCTGGACTTCAGCAGACTGGAGGAATTAAGTGTTTATTGGAACTGCTATAATACAAATGAGTCACCTCACTACTGCCTTTAACATATGACCGAATACTGCTCCTCAGGGGAAAAGCTATTTCTCATGGTAGGTACAGCTAGGGAAGGACTCCAACTCCTGGCTACAAACTCAGATTCCTGGGATCCCTTCCATGGCCCTGGGCCACTAATTCAAACTGCAGTGCCACAAGTTACTTATATTTAAACTGGAGATGACTGGCTTGCCTCACAGATGGCTAGCAGAGATTGCCCTTTGTTTTGTATCAAAGAATCACTGAATAGTTTGGGTCAGAAGACCACTTAGTTCCAACTCCCTGTCCCGGGCAGGGACACCTTCCACTAGACCAGGTTGCTCAATCCCCCAACCAGCCTTGCCTTCAACATTGCCAGAGATGTGGCAGCCACAGCTTCTCAGCGCAGCTTGTGCCAGGGCCTCAGCACTCTCACAGGGAAGAACTTCTGCCTAAGATCTCATCTGTATCTCCCCTCTTTCAGTTTAAAGCCGTTTCCCCTTGTCTTATCCCTACAGGCCCTGTCAAAAGACCCTCTCCAGCTTTCTTGTTGGCCCCTCTAGGCACTGGAAGCTGCTCTAGGGTCTCCCTGGAGTCTTCTCTTCTCCAGGCTGAACAGGCCCAGCTCTCTCAGCTTGTCTCCATAGGAGAGATACCATATCTCCTTGCACAGGACAATTAACCTGAACATATTTTTGCTTGCCCACAATTCTCCTTTAGTTTACACAGTGAAATTCACCCTCAGAAATGCTTCTTTCTTAGCCATCCATTTGATCGGAAGTGCTTTATGTGATCATAATAAACAGTAAATCACAGCCCCAAGATATCAGTCAAAGGGGCTACTGAAGCAAGAGCCTGAATTCGACTGTATGAGCAAGAAGCCACCATCTTTTTCCCCACTTTTGCTACTTACTTCTGGCATGATTTCAATCTTCTCATAGCGCCGCTTGTATGGAAGGGTCAGCACCTCTGCTCTGCGGTAGGACATTGGTGGAGGCTGACAGTCTATCATCAGATCTGTGCGATGAGACTGGGTGGGTGGTGGCTGAGTGTACTGCTCCGGGCAAACGACATGAAGAGGCTGGAAAAGAATGCGGTGACTTACAAAAATGTGTGGGTGATTCTGTGTGCTGCCCTACAGCAGTAATTACTACCATAAGGAGGTCTGCAGGTTGTTGTTAGCAAGCTAGTTTATCTGCATGAAAAAAACATGCAAAAGACGCAACCCAGAAGATCCAGTGAGTATCGGAACAAGGTGTTAAGGGGCAGGCAGTCTTTGCTTTGTGTACAACAGTGTCCAGACTAACAAGGCCTACATTTGTATCTTTAATCACCACTTCAGTATCAGTAGTCTTGTTAACTGCCATAGGGAGAAAAAAAAAGAATATTCAATAGCTTTTTCTTGTGAATTCTTGTCATCTATATTGGGAGAAAACAACAGTAGAGGCAAAGACCATCATACAATGGTGTGGAGTGAGGCAGATGTATCAACATGCAAAGCTGCAAAAAAGCACAATAAACTCTGAGTTTCCGTGACCTGTCAGCAGTATAGTAACAAAGCATAAATAGGCTGGTTGCCACAAGGATCGCTGCAGTATATAAGGAAGCCAAAAGACAAGACAGTGTTTCTGCAGACTGTTTTGGAAACAGCATTATACTTCAGTAGTAACATGGAAAGAGATGCTTGTCCAAAAAACAGGCAGTGGCAATCGCTATCAGTTGCGTGATGACAAGCCAGGTCACAGAACAGTAAGATATAGTGATCCAGGCATTGTTAAATGGTTTGGAAGAATATGTATTTTTGTGTTCAACAAGTTGAAGATAGAATGAAGGGAAAAGCTCAGCCAGGAAAAAAAAAACAAACGGGTATTATGTCATGAGTCAGAAAGCACATTTAAGTAGAAACAAACTGCATGGTCAAGTAGAAGCCACAAAAAAAAGAGTCAAAGGGGGAGAGCACAGACTACATGAATGCTTTGGTCTTCTTCCTAGATAGAAGTCTGGATTTTGCCAATGGAGTAAGGAAAGTAGTGGATTTGGAAGAAATGTGAGAGTGAAACTCCAGAGCAGCAGTGCCAGGACCAAAGCAAGTAGCAACTGCAGGATAAAGAGCAGAGGAGATGATTAAAGCTGAGGGTGTTGAGAATACTCAGTACTCAGTACCCTTTATATTAGACACAGCCAGGCCTATTCAACAAACAAGAAAAAGAATCTAGGGGAAAAACTTATTATGACTACATATACCTAAAAAGGAAGAAAGACATCTACACATCACCTGCTCTGCACTTTGACCTTTTAGGGATCTTCTAGCCACTCTGTGCAGATTGGCAGTCATGTCATGCTCATTTTGGAGCAGCATGATAAAGGAGAGCTCAAAGCCATGTGCTCTGTCATGGAAAAAAGAATCTGGCTGTTGTCTGAATTTTGTTGTTGTTTAATGTGAGAGTTGTTCACAACTGACCTATTTGTGTGAAGAAACGTAAGAAAAGGCAACAGAAAATTAATTACCTGAACTTCTTTGAGTAATTTAGACACCTGAATAAAATTCAGTCTTGTGTCAATGGGACAGTAAACACATTTCATCGCCAAAGGTTGGTAAGGAGCCAGGGCATCCAGGTAAGAGAAATCAGGTTCTGAAAAGAGAAATGTTGAAAACACTGAATGCCTATTAAAAACAAAGATGGCCCAATGCCTCTCTGATTCCATATTCTAGTCTAGACAAATTGTTGTTCCGCAATGTTAATTCTGCTTCAGATTTCTCTTCCCTTCTTCCTTCTCTCACCCGTTATTTTCAGTTAATTTGATGAAAATTATGCCCACAATTAGTCTTACCTTAATCAAGCAACAGAGCAATACTATTTCATTTGAACACATTATTGCATAATTTTTATAACAAATTTAAAGAAGACAAAAACATCACCTCTTATTTTTAATCAAATCCTGTAAAAGAAGGCAAGACTGAGACATTTTGGGTATCATAAGGTAACACAAATGTCAGCTTGTTTTTCACAGTGACAAAAAAGCTCATATCTTGATGAAAGTATACCGATGTTCTCTGCTGCAGGCACATTGCTTCCCAACTCCTTTTTTCCCTTACAACATATATACATATTTTTTTATTTATTTCTGAACAAAGTGCCAGGTTTAAACAGGTGGAAAAACAAGGGTCCAAAGGTCCAAATGTTAACACAACCCTAGAGAATCTGCAGAGAGCCCTCCTGTCGAAGGACAGACAATTGAGGTTTTTACAATCATGCCAACAGAGCAGGTCTAGTTCAGGCCGGTATGAAGTGAAGGTTGTCTTTGGTAGGGGCTATTCGGAAGGAGATAAGGCTTTTATTAGTTGTTATCTTTATTAGACCTAGCAAGTCTCAACTCCTGTTTGTACTTTTATTATTGACTTTTAAAAATCAGATTAGAGGTTTGCCAGGGAAAAGTCATGCATTGAATGGGCTTTTACTTACACAGAGAGTAATACAACACTGAGAATACTACAGAGAAACACTATTTTTTTTTGGTGAAGGAAAACGTAGGTCTCATAGGTGGCGCAGTGTAAGATACATGTAGCCACTTGATTCTGGGGTCCACTAATGGTCTGCAAAAGACTTATGCCATCACTATTCACCTGGTAATTGTGGGATAGATCACATAAAGGGAATGCTAGAGAAAGAAAGACTGGAATTAGCCTGGATAGTACAGAATGAGAAAGACTTATCTACTAGATACATGAAAGACTTATCTACCAGACTACTCCATACCTCAGGGTCTCAAAGGGCAACCCGCAGAGCAAAGCACAGTTGCAAAGCACCAAGCCTTGCTAGAAAACAGTATGAGGTATTTCTCTGGTATCTGCTCAGGCTGTGCAAAAGGATGAAGAAAAAGGACATTTAAATACAGACTTCAGTATAGATTTAGACAGCCATCTTCTGCAGTTTTATATCACCCTGATGAGAGCACTGGCTGGATTTCTCATGTAGACAGAAAGAAAAAGTGCTTTTAAAACTTTACCACAGGAAGTTCAGCACCCAGCACAGCATCCAACATTCAATATTGGGCCTCATTCTACTGATAAAGACAAGTTAATTGCTAGGCTAAAAATCTGCTACTGGCTAAGTCCCAGCGATCACGATGTGGTTATATTTACCCTGTGAGAACAGAATATAGCATCAGGCAATGATACATAAGTTTGGAACTGTCAAAGGGATAATTTTCCCAAGTTTAAAGCAACTGTCAGAATAACTGCCTGGGAACATCAAAGTGAGAAATATTAACAAGAAATGATAGTTTTACAAGAACATCTTACTAGATGCCCAAAAAGCCATGAATCCACAAACATGAAACAAAAATTATACTGGGCAAAAAGCCATGCTAGTTAAAAGCAGATGTGTTAGTGGCAGTGAAACAAAGCCTAAAAATATTGATGTAGAAAATGGGAGCTAATGGCAGTATAGTTTAACTGCAATGAACAGAAGCTTAAAAAAAAAGAATACTGAGAAGGTGTTTACTGAAGAATGGTCAGTGGTCAATTAGGGTTAAATCAGAAGATACTTTAAAATTTTTTGGAGAAAACCAGAAAACTTAAGTCAGACATGGGAGGTCTTCTGCTAGAGATGTACAATGAAATTAGAAATAGCAAGTTTAAAAAGTCATCAGAAGAGAGGTTTTCCAGCCTCTCTGGTGTTGTGGATGGCACATGGATTTGACTGCTTGTACCTGATAATGCCACTTAGCCTATTCAGACTAAGTATTTTTGAATCTTTAGGCTCAGATAACGTACAGATATGGATTTTTTGATCTAAAAATCCAAAATGGCATCCAGTTTGTAGTCTCTCTGAACAACTGTTAAGAACGTAAAAGCCTTGGAAAAGTGAGAAATTCTAGTGAAGGAATTCTAACCCAGGATTTTTAAGATTTAGAACTTACTGAAAACATAACTTGAGCTAGTCTCACAATGAGCTCATGGGACATACAAGGAAGAGCTGATCTGAAACTACCAAGAAACCAAAACTCACCTGTTTGATGGAAGACAGAGCTTGTCAAGGACACATACTGACTTTTTCCTGACAGAATTACAGGTATTTAGCTTCCCCACCCACCAAGAGACCTGATTTACTACTGTGTTATAAAATCTTCCACTGTACTGCACTGATGTGGCACACATGAGCTGTTTTTAAGATCTCCTAGGGAGTTAGTTTTTACAGCATTGTTGTAACTGGAGAGACAGCAAGAAGCAGACTTCCTTCTACTGTGTTTTCTTCTAGAATTTCTTTGTGGCTTAGTGGCATTCAATATTTTTTAATCAATAATCTATTCAATACTGCTTCAGCAGTAACATTTGCAGATAACACAAGCAAGCAGAGCAGCACTACGGCTTGCTCACAGCTGGTGTCCTGCCTATTGGCTGCAGCTGCTGTTTTAGTCCATATTCTTTCATAGTTGCCTTTTACATTACAAATTGGAAAGGTGGAGACTACCCATCTCCTGCAGACTGAACAAGCAGTGTCATCATTAACAACACTGGATGGCCTGTAGTTTAAAGGTCTTAATTACTAGAAGCTAGGAATCTTTCACAGGAAAAGCTAGAAAATCATCTGCTATCACACACTGCTTCAATGAACCACAATTCTTCCATAATTACAAGAGATTTTATCTTAAAACAGGAGAAGCTACATAATTAAATAAAATAAATCCTGGGCATTGATGGAGGTGCTTCAGATTTCCACTGGAGTTACTGAGAACAGAAGAATTTAATCTCTTAGGAATTTCTGTAGACATTAATCACAATCATTTAGATTGGAAAAGAGCCTTAAGATCATCGAGTCCAACCATACACCAAAACACTTCCAAGTCCACTGCTAAACCTTGTGTCTGTTCCAGTTGAGACAGTCATAAGGAATTAGGAACATATCACTGAGTGGGTATGCCTACACACAGAGTCCAAAAGCCATGGATAGATGAATTTAGGAAACAAAACCATCACAAGCACCTGGAATCAGTGTGCACTCCAAGGTCATCACAACCAAAGCAGATCTCACCTACAGTTTAATTTGAAGTATAAAGTAGAATGAACCTCAAAAGACCATGACTTAATGTATCTGTTACGATGGCCATTCAGATGCCTTAACAACTTTCCAAAACCATGTTTTAATAGAAGCCTCCTCTATTTCCTTATTTCACAGAAGGAAAGGTCAATTACCTCTCCCTATAAGAAGGCACAAATTAAGAGTTCTTGCCATCAGAGGCCAGTTTCTGACGCCCTCACTGATGGTGGGTAGTACATTCAGAACATGATTAATGCCACCTATTTCCTAGGGATTCCTGAAATATACAACCCAGCAAAGGGTGTGCGCACCCTGGTTTTAACTGAAGTCCCAGCTGGACTCCATTTTGGAGCAGAATTCCCTATTTCCAAGACAATGCATATCTATATTGCAATGTTACCAATTACTTTAATTGGGGCATATCTCTTGAAACTGCCTTGAAGGTCAGGAGTGACGGGTAACAGCTATAAAACAAACTGATTGCTTGAGGTTTTGGCGAAAGGGCAGGAGGAGGGATGAGGAAAGGTTTGTGATTCCAATGAAACATAGAGAAGTGTTCCTCCTTTCTGACCAGTACCAATTAGGTCTTGCCTGGATTTGACTTGCAGCCAGCCACTTTCAGTACAAAAATTAATTTCCTGTAGACATTTTACTGCTGGGCATAACAGAGATTTTACTTAGAAATGGCGCGAATGGGCTCTGCGTGGCAAAGGTTGGCTCTGCAGAGCTAAAACAAATTAAATGGTGCAATAATTATGTTTCTCCCTACAGTCAATCCTGGGGTCTTAATTTAGATGAGCTCCTACTGAACTCATAAACTTCTGCCCCAGAACAAATGAGTAAGGCCCTTAGGATGTGGCCAACTTCTTGTTAATTTGGTAATGATATCTGCATTTTACTTACCTGTGAATATAACAGTGTTCAAGCTAGATTTCCCCCATAACTCCATGAAATGAACCACATCCCCAAATCTAAGAGAAGGATGTCCAGTGAAAACAACACATGGCTGCTTGAAGTCGTTGCTGAAGTCTCCATGGATGCTGGGATAATGTTTCAATTTGTTTGTCTGAATGAGCTGGAAGAAAAACAAAAATCCAGACATTACAAACTTTTCACACCTCTACTCTGTAGTTTAGTGTGTTTATTTACATGAGATTATATTCTACAGTTTATTTTTAACTCATTACTGAGTCCTTTCCTGCATATCCCCTAGATTTTCCAACAAATTTAGTCATGACTATCCCCATATGTTATGAAAAGGAAGTGAGAGTATGGGGCCAGGTGCCTCCTAGTCCTTGCTCTCACTTCTTTGGTACAGCAGTACAGCTACAGAGAACTGCAAACACTCCCTGCTTAGACTTCCCTGGAGTGAACAGAATGCTCAGCTGCCAAATTCAAAATAAGCTGCTTTTTCCTATTTGCCATGTCTACAAAGAGCTCTGGGCACTGATATTTAGCCCGAGTTTCTTGCATCACAGTAGTACCAAGGCAATTTCGCCTTCAGCAGTATGTTACTGTGAGTTTCATTGGTGTAACGGGTTCACACAAAGTCAAGTCTTCCGAAAAACCATATGAAAGAACAGACTGACTTGCTTTTCCTTAACTATCACTGAAACTACTACTAACGATGAGCCAAGCAATAAGTACTTGTGACTAGAGCTGGCAAACAGAGTGCAATCAACCACGCAGGTGGAACAGATTTCTTTACTAAGGTGGGGAAGTTTATTTATCAAGGTGCTTTTGAGGAAGAATTTTGCTTCATTCCTCCTGCCACTGTTTTCTACTCTGCAAAGCAAGGTTCAACTTAAAAAGCAGTTTAATAGACTAGTCTGCCAAGCACTCTCATGCAATATTTTGCAAGTATTTTCTTGGCAGGTATATGTATCCTTCCCCAGCCTGAAAATAACAGTAAATATAGTTTTCTTAAAGAGTATGCAATGTAACATAATGAAATCACACACTGAACAACTGAAAACATAAAGAGTGGTAAAAGGGTGTGAAAGAGAGGAACAGTAATTCCTTTGTCAGCTGTTTTTTAAAGGAGGTGGCACTGCTCATCAAAGATCTCACCATACTTTGCTGCCTCCTGCTAGGAGTTGCAACATGGCTCAGAATGCAGAATTCCCATATGCAGGGCTCAGCAACACGTTTCTGGGGCTGTTGTGCCATGGAACCCCAGATGACAGAACTAATTAGCAAAGAGAATGCTCTTCACTACGTGTCATAACTTGACGTGTGCATCACGCCTTTCTAGCACAAAAACCTGCCACTCAGGACGTTGCTTTTCACTGTAACATATCTGATTTTCAAAAGAGGAACTAAGAAAGAACATTGTGATAAGCAGCTCCTCTGGTCTCTCAAAGCTGTAATTCATCTTTTTAGATTCTCTTTTATTTGTTACACTTTACCATGGTAGATCTAACTCAAGATAGTGTGCCTATATGGAAACGAACAGAAAGATGAGAAGTCTAATGCTTCCTTTAAGCCTTTTAGCAACTTATGCACCACAAAGCACTTCAGAACTTGAGGATATCACACAATTAGGTTCTTAATTGAATTTCGCATCACTGAGCAAAAGCATCAACCCTACTCAACTTCTAGCTGCCATCACCTAAAAATACGTTTTGGTGCTAGAACAGACAATGTACAAACTTACCATCAATGCCCTTTCAACAACAGGAAGTTGGCTGCACACTCCTTTGTTGCCGGCAGTTTGGTCTCCTTCAAGTTCCTAACAGCAAGTATTTTGCTGCAATTCTGCATCTGACTTCTGACACAAACTTCTGTTTGTAACTGCTGCCCCATACCTAAATGGCTAGAATGGAACTGGATTGGTATCTTTCCAGTGGTGGGCTCCCCGGTGATGGACACTGTTAAGATTCAACTAGACAGGATGCTGGGCCATCTAGTCTAGGTCACGCTTTGCCTAGAAAGGTTGGACCAGATGATCCTTGAGGTCCCTTCCTACATGGGACTATGTGATTCCTTCTGGGGTTTGATGTAAGATGGAAGCTGTAGGAGGACACAGCCTGTTACTTCCACATGGATCCTTGGATCATGGAAGAATTATCTAGGGGACTAAACTTTTTGCAGCTTACTAGTAATACCAAAATCCTGTTTAGTCTGCAAAAGGGAAATTTGGAAAAAACATCCGGTAACCATTCTGGTGGTTAATATGCACTGAATCTTGAAAACACATTTCTGCAATTAAGACTGCAAAGATTTCTGATTAACACATCTGGAGTGCAATATTTAGAATCTAAACTTAGCTTCAGTAATAAAAACTGCAGTTTAGCAGACAATGGGCAAAACAAATCTGATTCCATAAAATACTGGCATTTAAAAGTATGGGAAGGAAATGGTCCCATGAAACCAAAAGCCTCAAAACTGAAGCTGCAAATGCAGTTTCAATTGGGTAAACGGGAAGAAGGGGATAATTTCTACCTCATACAGTAAATTAGATATGTGACATTCCAGGGCTAAACTTTGTCAGAGACCACCAGATAGATATATGAAATACATTTTTACAGCTTTATAGCAGCCTGCAAATACCTTAAGTGGGCCTACAGAGAAGCTGGAGAGGGACTTTTGACAAAGGCCTGTAGGGATAGGACAAGGGGGAATGGCTTTAACCTGACAAAGGGGAGATTTAAATGAGCTCTGAGAAAGGAATTCTTCCCTGTGAGGGTGGTGAGGCCCTGGCACAAGTTGCCCTGAGAAGCTGTGGCTGCCCCATCCCTGCCAGTGTTTGAGGCCAGGCTGGATGGGGCTTGGAGCAACCTGGTCTGGTGGAAGATGTCCCTGCCCGTGGCAAGGGGCTGGAACTAAGTGAGCTTTAAGGTCTTTTTCAACCCAAACCATTCTGTGACTCCATGAAGCACACTTCTGAAAATCACAAACTGTTATTCCAGAGTTCTGTTTCACAGGTTCCTCAGGATTATATACATATCTGCATATAATCACAGCATTTAAACCTTTGCTAAGGTGTGAGAGCAGCACTCTGTGCAAAAGCATTCTTTCAACAGCCTATTTCACTGTTATAGCTATACAAATGATCATTGTTTATAAACCTAAAAGCTGTATTCTCTTCAGAGCATTACGGAAGCTTCAAATCTCCTCCTGTTACTTTGTAGAGAGAAAAAGGACCTCTAATCCAGTTTTCAGGACCTTGTTTTTTTTCCTGTGTCATTCGTTTTATTTTTCTCTAAATACTTTATTATTTCCAGCGACAAACCATCTAGCCCATCACTGTGCTGCACTGCTTCTAACTGGGGTACTAAGGAGGGAAAAGGGACACATACTGACTCCTCAGCACCATGTCCTGAATTGTGGTGTTCAGGTGTTTTTTCCATATTTACTTTTTATCTTGTGAGATCGTTTCTTGTAAGTCTACTGAAGCTCCATACTAACAATCTCTCACTCTCACTACTGGACTTGGCAGTGGTGAAAGGCTACAGAAACAAGTTTAAAGGCATTCTGTTCACCCCAGTGATAAAGCAGCTAGTAGATTTTAGTGTCTAGGGCAAAATGTCTCCTAATTACCAAATCAAAAATATATGGAGCTGAATTTGCAAACCAGGTCCAACAAAATTTCACAAATCATTAAGGGGGCTAAACTTGCAATGATTTGTAGAGGTCTTTTATATCTAGATATAAGACAGGTTGTATAAACACAACGGTCATTACTGTGTCACATTCAGATCTTCACTCTGTACTAAGATGGGGCTAAAACCAATGCCTGGCATTTAGCTAACCAATATTTTCACAATGGGACTGAATGCTGGAAACCAGAAGCAACATTCAGAGCATATTTCTACAGAAATGACCATTATTGACTGAAAGCTTAAAAGATAGAGGATGGTAAAGTACTGAACCGAGACTGAGAAGAGCTGCTCTTTTCCTAAATCCCAAACGGTTATGATTCCCTTTAAAGCAGTAGACTTGATTTAAAGGGTCAGCAACTGCTGCTATAAACAGGATAAATCTCCAGAGCCTTTGTGTATGCTTTATTGAAGTGAGCCAAAATGCACTGCTATTTACTCTGTCTGTGTTTTTAGGTGTGTGTGTTCTGGATCCAGAATTTTGAACAGATACGTTTCTCATCAGTGAATGAGTGATGCATTTATTACTTCACCTCCCTTTGTAAGACCAATACGAACAGGGGCCTAATTCTATATAATACTATAAGACAAAACACAATACTACACAATCATATGGTCCCAGGTATTTATTGCTTTTAATGTGTTACACAGAAACCGGTATATGGAGAAGGGAATCAAAGACAAAGATGACAAATGCTAGTATTTAACACTACAGAATCAATATTGTTCCCACCCTGGTTATTTTTTGAGTCAGAAAAAGAGGCTTTTCAAAGCCATTTCTCTTAGATGTTGTTAACAGAATCCTTAACAAGAGGACAGTAAATCCAAATTCTTCCTCCACTAGTAAACAATGATCAATATAAATTACCTCTCAATTTTTTCTGTTGCTGACATTTAGAGGAGTCTGGATTCACTTATCTTACAGCCTGAAATCATCTATTTAAAGACTGAGCAGAAAGGAAAAGGACAGAAAGCTTCTCATTTTGCCTTGCTAGAATAATTCCAGCTATTCATTTATGAATTCTCTACCTCCACAAAACGGATGGTGTGAAGCGTACAATCCATGGTTCCTTTTTAAAAAGCTTGGGGAGATGGCCGATTCCTCAGCTGGGGCTGTGTTAGGATGGGACATTCCCATGCACTCAAAGGATTTGGTAAAACATACGTATTGGTTCTGAGATACCAGAATAACATTTCTAAACAAAACAAATTACTGATTTATGCTCCACAGCATTCCAGCTAGCCATTGTGGAGCTTAAACCTAAGCCTGTTTAGACAGCTGATCCTAGAGTATAACTGATATAGTGCCTTGGAAGTGAAAGCCACCACCTCCCTCAGCCAGTCTGCTATATTCACAAACATTTGGGAACTCTAGTTCTTAAGTCTGCAAAAGCTTCCAGTGTTACTGCAGATTGATTGAGCTCCTTTCTCTCTTCCCCATCACAGACACTGCTGGTGAAAAACTGAGGGGAGAGCCATCCACACAGAGTGATCCATCCCTTCCCTAACTGACTGCTTCTCCACTTTCACAGTTTTCCTCCTGGGAAGTCACTGGTTGTAATGTACAGCAGTCCTGCTCCATATCCTAACTCCCTTCAACAGAGTCACAGCAACTATCACACCAGTTATCAGACAGAAATGCCTTTTAGAAGCAGCTCTTTTAAATTGTGCACTGCTAAAAGACTGCAGATGAGACTTCAAAAGCTTGTGTAAGAATACAGACACTCCATCCATATTAACACTAGTAGGAACTGATGTCCAAATCCATTCTTACAAGCCTAGAGCATTATAGCCTGCATTCCTTGCTCGTAACAGAGAGAAAAATACATTCCCTGTTCACTTGGACAAGATGTTAGGAAATAAAATGCCACCCCAAAAAATTGCACACAGTTACCATGCAGGAGGAAATATGATGAACACCTACTACAACATTAAAGTGGAAGTAACAAGGAGGGAAGTAGAAGTGTTTTGGGTTCTCTGCAGAGATGAACAGTGTATCTAGTTTTATTCAGCGCAGCAGAACAAGAAATGAGCTCAAAACAGGTAATAAATAATAAACCTGGAAAATTTCCATGCAAAGAGGCTGGAAAAGCTTCAAACAACTTAGTACAGATAAAAATAATAAAAATAATTGTAGAGAAGATGAAGATAGTTTTACTTATCCTCTTGTAACAATAACAAAGGGATAGTTAAATGAAATGCAACCATAAGGGAAGTAAATACTCTTTTACACTATGCATCAGGCACCACTGGAACTTACTGCTGCAAGAGACTACTTCGACAATTTGGGGGATTATTTTTCCTTGTTTGTTTTTAAATCTTGCAACTGAAACAACAAACAGGAACCTCAAGTTTCAGGACCAGACAGCATGCTGGGCTGGACTTATTCTGTAGATAATTAGAAGCTTATTTCCTGGTCTGTCCCCTTCTGATGTATCATGCCAGGCATATTATTAATGCTTGCTCATAACTAAGAGGCATGTCTGAGTAATCCCCTATTTTCTTCCAACAAGAGAGCAGCTAAGCACATCTTTTCATGATGGGCAATTTCCATCTAGGTTACATTGCAAAAACCTACCATTACTTTGAAAAAAGTACGGCAATTCTCCACTAACAACCTGGCCATGAGACGTGATCATTTGATGTCTGCTTCTGATACTCATTAAAATCTCCCTTAAGTGCTAGCAAGCAGAGCTCCTGATTGTGAGGTTGTGGATTCACAGATTTAGAAAGAGTGTGTTCACCTAAGACAAAAAGGCTGGCTGCTGATAAAAGCTCTAAATTAGCAACTGGAAGCCTTGAGTCCAAGTCCTTCCTAGACTGATGGTATGGCCATGGGCAGGTTATTCAGGCCAGGTCTGTATTAAGACCATTTTGCTTGGTGAAATTACACCAAACCATCACGGCAGCTGAGTCTACTCTGGATACTCTGTGCACAGGCATCACAGGGTTTCTGCCCAGGAATAAAACTGCATTTGTTAAAGATTGTACTGAAAAGAGGTTATGCAAGATATTTCACATATAAGTTACATATACAATGTTGGCTGCAAGGTTTTGCCCTTCTTCTGCTTACACTGTTTTTTCCAACTCTGTATTTCATAGAAAAAAAAGAAACCCAGCCCCTCTCCCATGCCTTAGAAACAGTATGACAGCATTAAACTGCAACCAGCTGTAGGTACCAATATAACTGGAATGCAGCCCAAGGTGGCTGAGCATTACAGGAGTAAAAGAATGACAGTAGCTGTCTCAGAGGACAGCAGCAAGGAATATAATGCAGGGTACCTGACATGGATGTCCTGGCACTGTGTTGGCAAGCATGTCTCACATGTCAGTCATCTATATAAAATGCAGTATGCTTTGTTTGAAACTAAACTAAACCAACCCATGCCCCTTAGAGAAGAAAAAAGGAGCAATCTGATCTGGTGCTCTCACACGTCTAAACTTCAGTGATTTGTGACCTTAGGAAAAACACTAAATGAAATAGCAGCCTCAGACTTTCTTTGCCTGGGTATTACTTTGTTTTGGTTTTGCTACTAAGCCAGGCTTTTGAAAGAGGTTTGCTGTATGCCTAGGGCTGCTGCCTCCCACCATACAAACTGGTTTTGCAAAACAGCCAATATATATCAGGAATTAGTAATGAAGAGACCCATTTTGCTCATCAGGGAATGGGGGTAGCACAGGTTACTCCCACTTTCCACTGTTTACTCCACTTCCCAGTGTTTACACAGCAGCATGCATAAGTGAACACCCGAACACACAATTTTAGTTATTTGAATTGAGGGGAAATATATAATACTTACTTCAGATGGTAGCTCAGTGCTGAAATGCCTAAAGGGTACAGGCATTTCATAGTTTGGGAGCCACAAGGATGTGCATTCACAGTATGTTGTGTCATTCAGCCCATTTAAGGCAATATTTAGGCAAAAATGTAAGAAGCCTAAGAGCGGCTGCCTGTCAATGATGTCCATGGGTCTGGATAAAGCTGTTTGTGCACCTCATAATAGTATGTCCCAAGCTTTGTGGGTCATGATCTGCATGATTTGGCCTTGTCAACCAAAGGCTGTACCTGTAACAGGCATGTTACTCCCTCTGTGCACTGCATTTTGTTATCCACTGATCTGTTATCCACTGCTGTGAGTCATTTCCTAGATAATTACCTTGATCTGCACATGAAGCATAGAGGAATGTCTCAATAGCTAAACAACAATTCGGCAAAATCTCATTATCAAAATGCCTCTGGAGAATATAATATGTCCTAAAAATTAGAGGACACAGTTATCACTCTATAAACACAAAGACCCATCATATAAGATGGGTCAATTAATCCAGTCTTTGACAGCTGCATGTTCGGCTTATTTTTGGAAGAGCTTTCACTTAAACCTGCCAGTTCCAGAGCATATTGTGAACTAAAATTTGAAGCAATGTCTTTGGTAGAATATAGGCTGTCACTAGGCTGTCACTGAAACCAATGACACTGTGGATCAACAAGGACATCCCAGAAAGCAGAGATTCAGGGGTAATTAGAAAGCACAACCAGCAGCATGGCTACAGAGTCTTTGTATTCTTGTATATTTCTACAGACTCTAATGAAAAGTCCCTCTCGGGCATCTTTCAGATACTGGAAGGCTGCTATGAGGTCTCCATGGAGCCTTCTCTTCTCCAGGTTGAACAGCCCCAACTTTCTTAGCCTATCTTTGAACATGAGGTGCTCTATCCCCTTGTCTGTCTGGAAAGAGTCAGGACTTCTGGTTAGATCTACTTCCAACAATGCCTCTGAAGCACCTACAGGTGATACATGTGATGGGCAATGGCAATTTCCAAAACAAGCCCCCTGATGAGATATCTTAGAGGGAAAAAAAAAACCAAAAAACCAAACCCAAACAATGCCTGAAAAAGCATTTTAACCTTTGGACTCTTAAACCTGTAATTGCCACTCTGCACATCTCATCAAACAGTTCTAAAAGAAGCAGTTTTCTGAGACTGCATGCCCCAAATGGTGTCTCACAGGAGTAGATTTAGCTAAATTTCTCAGTCCCATTTCTTCCTTTCCTAGACAGTCTCTCATTTACTGCTACCGGTTCATAGTGGGGAAACTAAGAGACATCATTTCCTGACATGCAAGATAACTCCAAAGGTATGATTTATACCACATTTATTTAACGTCTAGCTGCCTAAACCTTCCCCTCAAGTTATTATTTTGTTGCAGAGAAGATCCCCTCAACATGGGTTGTGAGGAGATCCCCCCAAAGACAAGAATCTTATTCTTTTTTGCTTCACTAAGATGCTAGCTCAGGTAATTTCATTTAAAATTGTCAAAGACAGCACCCAGTGCTGCAAGGTTTTTTACATTAGACCTCTCCTTCAAGATACCATTTCTCCTGCAGCAGACAACATGGTGCCTATCTCAACTAGGGAGATGCTGGGATGACTAAGCTGTCTCTGTTAACAAGCTCTTAGTTTTACAGATTTTGAAATAAAGTGCTTGGACAAAGGGGATATTCATGGTTGCAGTCTGATAAGAGCAAAGATTCACCATGTGTACACCAGATAGCCTTCTGCGGGGGAAGAAGTAAAGCAGGCAAGCATATGTAAGTTATATGCTGAAATAAACATCACGGTAATTTTTTTGAGCTGAGGGAACACCATCATTCATTCCTCCCCCATGCTCCCAAATTAATCACAGAAAGCAAAAGAAAAAAAACCCAAACTTGCATGGATAATTTCACAAAACTTAAATAGCTGTGGAAGTGTTCATCAGGAAAGCAACAGCCACATAGACCTGTGTTCCAAAAACCCAATCACACTATGACCTTAGCAAACAGCAAGACCGTGGTTTACTTACCTCAGCATGGGGAAAGGGAGGTTCTGGAAGATACACCTTTGTTTGTTTGTTATGACACAACCTTTAAAAGAAAAGGAAAATCAGCCAGGCTAGAGAGCTGCAGAACATCCTACAGTATCTGCTGCCATCTACTGTTAAACGCTTTAGGAGAAAGCCATTCCACACCTGTGGCATCAGGTGCAAAATCACCAATTTGTTCTGTTGTTCTGTTTAGGGGACCAACACCTACAGAAAATAACAATTCAGTCATAGCGAGACAGAATAAAGAAGTTGCAAGACAGCTGAGGACAATTTTTTACACACAATGTAGAAGAACTCCTTTGCTGTTGAAGACAGATTTGTAACTCAACATCCACATAATTTCATAGAGCAGAGCTCAGCAGCATTTGCAAAGCCAAATCGCCCATCAGCAGAAAAATTCCACTTACCTCATCCCACTTCTCAGCAGTGACTTGGTCGTTCCCCTATGCATTTTAGTATTGCAGCTACAAGGTTGGTTAACTGCCTCTCACCATGGCATAGTGTTCATTGTTACCTGAGATTCTACATCAGTCATTTATTTTTAAAACATAAATAAATATTGAAGGTTGTTGATCAGCTCTAGCCAGACTCATCTTATTACAGAAGTTGAAAAAGGATATTTGTCACAGGTCTGTGTGATGTTGCAGCTATCTGTAGTGACATTGTCCTGGTGGCTCTTTCTGGGAAACACTACCTGTCTCATACTTTCTTTACTTTATTACACAGCAATAAGCCTGGGTCAAATGAAATTTGATAAAGTCTGAGAGATACTAAGAGCAGGACATTTATTTTGGCTGACTAAGCAGTAGAATTGGAAGGCTGGAGTCCTGAATTTCAACTCCTGTTCCGACCCTCTAGTTTCCAAATGTTCAACCTCTGCCTGCACTTCCATGTAAGTAAAATGTTCACCTCACACATAAGTGTTTGGAGATAGCTAATGCTGGGTTTGACTTTTGAATATAAGTCATTGCAGCAAAGTAGATCTCCAAAAAAAAGGGTGTCTGACCACTTGGGTGTCTGAGTTGCGCCAGCGAGATGCAGCAAGCAGAACGACCTAAGTGGCACAGGTAACGCTGCTGCTACTTTGACAGCATTATTGCAACAAGGACTATATACTAGGTAACTACCACTTCACCTGCTACTGAAATGAAATCACCAATGAAGTACAAAACAAACAACTGTTTAACTATAAACTGCCAAGAGTCAACGCAACCTGGTGAGTACATAAAGTCTGGCCCAGACATCAACGCTTGATTTTCCTGCTTCTGCTGAAAGCAACATAATTAAATACACCAGATTTTAATCTTCTTTACAATCCTCCCATGGGATCAATCCACTTAAGATTTCCAGGACATATCTTCTTTCCTGAACTCCAGACTTAAAAGGGCTGGAGAGGAAGAAAGGAAGGCAAAGCTAACTTACTCTATTTAATAATCTAGAGAATGTCTCAATTTGTAAGAATTCAGGAACAGTTACAAGTGGTTGGGGTTTCGTTTTGATGTCTCTGAATCACAGAACCGTTGAGGTTGGAAGGGTCCTCTTGAGATCACCCATCCAAGCCCCTTCTCAACCACTACAGCAGGTCATCCAGGACTGTGTCTAGTTGGGCCCTGGAGCCTCCGTAGACAGCAACTCCACAAACTCGCACCACAACATGTTCCAGGGTTTGAACTCCCTCATAGTAAAAAAATGTATTTCTTCTGTTCAGACAGAATTTGTTTTCATGTGTTTTAATTTGTGCCTCTTGTTCTGTCAATAGGCCCTGTGGAGAAGAGTCTGGCTCCCTCATCCTCATTTCTCCCCATCAGGTATTTCTACACACTGATAATCATAGAATCTAGATCATAGACTGGTTTGAGTTGGGAGGGATCTTAAAGCTCACGTAGTTCCATGCCCCTGCCACAGGAAGGGATACCTTTCACTAGACCAGGTTGCTCCAAGTGCCATCCAACTTGGTCTTGAACACTGCCAGGGATGGGGCAGCCACAGCTTCTCAGGGCAACCTGTGCCAGGGCCTCACCACCCTCACAGGGAAGAACTTCTGCCTAAAATCTCATCTCAATCTCCCCTCTGTCACTTTAAAGCCATTTCCCCTTGTCCTGTCCCTACAGGCCCTTGTCAAAAGCCCCTCCCCAGATTTCTCGTTGCCCCCTTCAGGCACTGGAAGATGCTCTAAGGTCTCCCTAGAGCCTTCTCTTCTCCATGCTGAACAAGCCCAGCTCTCTCAGCCTGTGTCCATAGAGAAGGTGCTCTAGTTTGGTGCTCAAGCTGTAGGAGAGGTGTGTCCACCAGGAAATTGAGCCGTTGACTACAGCTCTTTGAGTGTAACCATCCCCTTCCTTGACCTGCTGGTAGTGCTCTGCCTAATGCAGCCCAGGATACTGCTGGCCCTGAAAAATCTATTTTCCTTATACAGTGATACCATGATATAGTTGTGGGGGCACTGCATAAGGTGCACAAACAGGCAGAGCTAAAGTTCACTCATGTCAGGTACATAATTTAATCATCAGTGCAAGTACCAAAAAGCACAGACTACTATGTTTGTATGTTCTATAGGAAATGATGTTTCCCTAATATAGAACATCCACTTACACACGTACACACGCCCTTGTGACTAAATAAATGTGTTCACAATTCTCATCAAGTATATACTGGAGTGTGTCAAGTAAAGACAACCTGTATACATCTATTAACCATAGCTGAGTATCTGAATTAAGGCTGATGAAGCAGCCCTTTAACACCTACCATTCAGCAAAGATCTGGGAGAACTCAAGGGAGCTGTTGGCAACAGGTGAGATGAAATAAAAAGGGATGTTGGAGAGTCCAGCAGAGTCAATATACTGATACAGGCACTCCAGCAGATCATATATTACTCCAGAGGGATAACAGGGAACAAGCACATTTCCTCCATTCCGGACAGTCATAGCTAAGAGAGAGAGAGAATGAGAAAAATCAATTAACAGGGTTCATATTTAAACTTTTTAATAAATTACTTTAATCCAAATATCACATAAGGTATAAAAAAGCTATCACATGAATTAGCAGAAGACATTATGCATATGAATAGAGAGGAACACTTATGATCATTAAATACATTTATTTACTGCCTTCTCCAGGAAGCAAGACTGGAGAAAACGATTATACTCCATTAGCTGGGGGGCACATAACAGACTGAGCACAAGCTAAACTCTTGACACGAGAGGGCGGTCTTGCACTGGCACATGAGAATAAACCTCATCATCAAAATAAACCCTGATCCATCTATATTAGCTGTGGACCAGAGGGGAAGGACAACAGTTCACAGGTCTCAGCTGAAAGCTCTACACATGGTAAACTGCTCTGTACTTGTTCTTCAGTACTCCAGATGAAAGGCTTAAGACAAGGTTATTTCAAACAGCCCTTGAAGCTAGAAGTGTATGGTGGACTGTTTCTCCTTTTTAAAAAAATTTAAGTATTTCTGTCATTTCAATGTAACAAGAACAATTTAAAACCTCTATGAATTGCATGGGACTAGAGAAAAACGTGGAAAAGGAAAAAGAAAAATAGGTTTACTCTGTAACTGAGACAGATTTGAGTCCAACAGCAAAATATTTTGTTCTATTGGCAGAATAAATGACAAAACGCTGTACCTTACGGGAAACTGGAAATCCTTTGTCCAGCTCACTGAGCAATTGCTGCCTCACTAGGATTTCATCTGTGGTCTTGGGGTAAAAACATCTACTGATGTTAATTGCAGTGCAGCAGCAGTAACATTATGCATCAAGGCATTACACAAAAAGCTGTGAAAGAGTCTGAAAAGGCATATATTACAACCCTCCATAATCACTTCCTTGACTTCAATTTATTGACAAGCTATGATGGGGTACGGATTTAGCACATTAAGGGTCTTTTTGCCCCACCTGCATGCTGAAGGAGGACTTTTATGGCTGAATGTGTTTAAAGGTTTTACAGAGTCTGGGGAAATGCAGAGACTCTCTCATAGGATTTTTCACATGCATTTAGGTGCTTAAGTCCTTTTAGCAGCCACTGCCTATTACATGCTGTTCGCAACAACAACTGGTGGTCCAAGACACCTTCTACATCACAGTTATATTAGAAGTGCACTGCAGTGAATTATTGCCTAGGTTTTATCCAGGGCACATGCAAAATGTATCACCAAAATATCTGTGATTATGAATAGCAATATTTTACATTTGTCTAGAACCTGAGATGTCACAAAACATCCCAGCAATGTGTTATATTATCCCTCTTACGTGGGAAAGTTTAAACTGTCCCATCTGTAAACAGGATGTGAAGAGAGGGATGAGATTAAGAACAGTATTTTCAAAGCCATCTGGGGGATGAAAGTTAAGTCTCTGGCTCCAGGACCAGACTTTGCATTGCTTTATTTTGCATCTAAAAATTCTGCACAGAGGGAAGAGGAGTACCTAGATCCATAGCAGCAGGAATGCTGCATGGGCCAGAGATAGGATGCAGAGTGCATTAGTGGTCAGTGGAACACGACAAGAGTTATGTCTGCAGGTCTGTATCTGCGCTGAACAGATACTGGCTGAAACACCAAGGTGTGCGCCTCCAAGAAATGGGTGCCCTCTTCTTTCCTCAGGCACCAACTAGCTTCACCTGGTTAAGACAAATGGCTCACCCTTCCCTTTGAAGATGCTGGAGGAACAGCTTTCATCTAATGACGGGCTGGTGAAAGAATTTGTCCAGGACATGAAAAATGTGAGTTTCATTCCAAAGACTCTGTGGTGTGTTGACCCCGTCTGGAGGCTAGGTGCCCCACTTAAGCCCCTTCATCACTCCCCTTCTTTTTCAGTGTCATGCTCTGCCAGTGAGAAGGGGCACAAGAAGCTGGAAGAAGCAGAGACAGGACACCTGACCCAAGCTAGCCAAAGGGGTATTCCATACCACAGAATGTCATGCCCAGTATAGAAACTGGGTGGACTTACCTGGAAGGCCCAGACCACTGCTCCGGTCGGGCTGGGTATCAGTCGGTGGATGGTGAGCAATTATATTGTGCATCGCTGGTGTTTATTGTTTTCTTTTCCTTTTTCCCTTTTTGTTTAATATTCTCTCCCCTTGTTATTTCCCTTATCATTATTATTATTGGTGGTAGCAGCAGTGGTTTGTGTTACACCTTAGTCACTGGACTGTTCTTATCTCAACCTGTGGGAGTTACATTCTTTTGACTCTACTCCCCATTCCTCCAGGAGTGGGGGGAGGAAGAGAGGTGGGGAGTGAGTGAATGGCTACCTGGCTCTGACTTACTGGCTGGGCTTCAACCATGACAGTTCTCTGTGGCATGAAGGGTTGAGATAACGACAGATCTGACCAGAGTGTGTCTAATTGTATTTGTGATAAGCATTCATTGTTTTTGGATTAATAGTCACTTGTCACAATGTTTATTTATATGCTCTCAGAGTTGTTGTGCTTAGTCACAGAGTTTCAGCACATTGTACCTTATTTGCAGCCAGTATTTGCTGTTTTAGCATTTATCAGCTGGTGGGGGCTGGGCTAAGCCTATTGTTTCTCTGTACTTCATGGTAATGACTTTTAATACAATAGACTCATCGATATGAAACTGATCTGGCATGCATTCTCAGCGTGGTCATCACCTCTATACTTTGGGAGGCATATAATGGAAGTATTTAGCAATTACACATCTTTTTTTTTCCTCCTCAGGTGGTCAACCTATGAAGGAGACATGCACACACACACACACACACACACACACACACACACACACACACACACACCCCGGACAAAGGGGGAGAAAATACAATGCTAGGCTCATGGGTTGAGATAAGGACAGGGAGAGATCACTTTCCAATTACCATCATGAGCAAAACAGACTCAGGGAAAGGAAATTAGTTTAATTTACTACCAATCAAATCAGAGCAGTATAATGAGAAATGAAACCAAACCTTAAAAAACACCTTCCCCTCACCCCTTCCTTTCTCCTAGGCTTAACTTCACTACCAAACTCTGCCTCCTCCCCTCCAGCAGCACCAGGGAATGGGGGTTACGGTCAGTTCATCATATGTTGTCTCTGCCACTCCTTCCTCCTCAGGGGAGGACTCCTCACACTCTTCCCCTGCTCCAGCATGGGGTCCCTCCCACAGGAGGTACTCCTTCCTGAACTGCTCCAGCAGGAGTCTTTCCCACAGACTGCATAAACTGCTCTAACATGGGCTTCCCACGGGGTCACAGCCTCCTTCAGGCACCCCCTACTCCAGTGTGGGGCCCCGCATGGGCTGTAGGGGCACAGCCTGCCCCACCATGGGTTGCAGGGAAATCTCTGCTCTGGTGCCTGGAACACATCCTCCCCTCCTTTTTCACTGACACTGGGGTCTGTAGGGCTGTTCCTCTCACATTTTCTCACTCCTCTCTCTGGCTGAAGTTGCTGGTTTTGCTGTTACACAGAGGAAGCTTCTGGCAGCTTCTCACAGAAGCCACCTCTGTAGCTCACTGAATACCAAAACCTCGCCAGGCAAACCCAATACACTTTGAATTCACAGCTCTCCCTTCCCTGCAGCCATTGGTTCACTATGGGAAAACAACCAGAAGTTCAAGATTCCTAGGGTCATGGAGAAAGTAACAGAGGATAAGGTCTTGGAGCAGTTGCCAACTTGAGTTTCTGTTCCCAGGAAAACTATACAGCTGGTTAACAATACTTAGTATCTCAATCAGGGAATGGAGCACTCTTCCAGCTAGCTGCCCTACCCAGGGCTGCTGGTCCCTTGAATCTTGTGCTGTTGGTGGCACAGTGATGCATCCTTGAAACTGGCCTGGTGCATACTTCTCCCCAGGGCAGGAAAGGACAACAGCATGGCTATCCCACCTCTGACAAGGCTCTGTGTGACAATTTTTTTGTTTAAATACACTACTCAGTTCCTTGGTACAAGTTTATACATATGTGGTGGGGTCAGCACAGCTGGGCACTGCTTCTTGAGGGTGCTATTAAGTGGTTCCATAAAGGGATAAGAGCTTCTGCCAAACAGGGATGAAAACCTCTACAAGCATATTGCTTCTCATGCAAACAGTAGGTCCAATCTGGCTCTCTGCACCACTACAGCAACTTTCTGCAGTTGTCAGTAAGAAGACACGTATATTTGAAAGCTGTTTAAGCCCAATTTATCCCCGTGACTGATGGATGCACTCTCTTGATAAAAGTTGCATAATAATCTTGGCATTTCAAATTTAGTCTCCTTCAGTAGTTCCATAACAAGTTTTTCAATTTACAGCTCACAATGAGATACTTGCTTTTCGAACAGCTGCCACCACAAGGTCAAGTTGGCACCTAAAAAGCAAACTGTGCTCTTTTCTGCTCTATATAAACATACGCACTCATACACAGAGGCACGATCGCACATGCACACAAAATATCACAAACTGTCCCTACAGACAGTCTGGCAAATTTGCTGATGATGCCCAAGGCAATGTAAAAATACAATTGCTTTTCTTGAGCTGCAGGAGTGCTGGTGCTGCAGTGCTTAGCGTGGAAAAATGGGGTTTGGGCTAAACTGAGAGGAACTGGGAGATGTGCCAAAGCGTGGCTTCAGTGCTGCACACACAGTGCTGGGACGAAATCATACGTGTGACTTGGTACTAATGGGAATTGGCATCTACAACTCTATACGCTGGGATAAAAACAGAGATCAAGGTGAAATTTTCACACTTCCATTTCTGTGCTTCACGACACTTATTCACAAACATGCCAGTACCTCATGATACACGTTTTTGGTAAATCCCCAGTGTCTGCTTTAGGGTTTTCACCTAGTGCATGCTGAGCTTCTTGTGAAGCGCCCTGAGCATTTTGGAAATGGGAAAAATATATGAAAATCATTGTGCTCGGCTTGCCTTCTCCATTGCTTTTCCCAGTAATTTATTGCTTTTTGGACTTTTTTATACGTTTGAAAGAAAACTGATTCACTATTTTCTACTCCTAATGTTGGGTAAATGTCTAAGTACTGCTGGTGTCATGTAAAAGACAACCCTATGACTGCATTATTCATAAAATTATTTAATTTCTTCAGGTTGATGTTTTGGGAAATACCACTCAAATCCCAGATTCTTACAATGGTATTATTTTAAGCATATATCTTCCTTGAGTCTTTAATAATTTTCTAATTTCTTTGAGTATGTCTCCTTCAAGATAAAAGCTGGCTTGAAGACCATCTGCAAAACCCTCAAAATAGTTCAGAATGTTTCTGTAAACCAAAGCAACTTGTGCAGATGAACATTCACCTGTACCTACATATATAACACATTTATTTATATGCGTTAATCTTTTGGATTTTGCTTTGGCTCAAGCTACATCTCTTTAATTTTTAAAAGCTTTTTAATTAACAACAGTTTCACTCTTGTTTACTCAGCATACAGCTGTTGCAGTTCAAGACATGACTGACCACGAAGATATTTGCCGGAGAACATTTGGACCTGATGGAGCGAGTCCAGAGGAGGCCACTGAGATGCTCTGAGCGCTGGAGCACCTCTGCTATAGAGACAGGCTGAGAGCTGGGCTTGTTCACCCTGGAGAAGAGAAGGCTCTGGGGAGGCCTTAGGGCAGCTTCCAGTGCCTAAAGGGGGCAACAAAGAAATCTGGAGAGGGGCTTTTGACAAGGGCCTGTAGGGATAGGACAAGGGGGAATGGCTTTAAACTGACAGAGGGGAGATTTAGATGAGATCTTGGGCAGAAGTTGTTCCCTGTGAGGGTGGTGAAGCACAGGCACAGGTTGCCCAGAGAAGCTGCGACTGCCCCATCCCTGGCAGTGTTCAAGGCCAAGCTGGATGGGGCTTGGAGCAACCTGGTCTAGTGGAAGGTGTCCCTGCCCATGGCAGGGGTTGAAACTGGATGAGCTTTAGGGTCCCTTCCAAACCAAACCATTCCGTGACTGTTATGATTTGCAACAGAGTTGGCGGCAGAGCAAGACATAGCACTCCTCAGCCTCTCCAGGGCAAAGCGTAACATTTCAGCTCAGATTTGCTTCTGTGGTGGTTTACGGTAAGACAATCAGATGAGACCATGCTATTATCTGTCAAAGGGACTGTAACCCCCATAAAGATCCATAATGGACAGAGAAGGGCAGCACATCTGGATTTAGTACAAGGTCACCAAAGCTTACCTGTGACATCTCATAGGGTAATAAAATTAACAATTCTTAAAAACAATGAAAACCCAGACCATAATACACACACACACACACACACACACACACATAAACACACATATCACTAAGGAAAGGAAGTCACAGGTGTTAAGAATTAACACAGCTTCAAGGGGAGGTCAAACAAGTTCCTGGAAGAGAAATGCACTGAACATTATTAACCACACAAAAGCCATGTCTGATTCAGGAAATTCCTAAAAGAAAAATACTTGAAGGCTATGAGATGAAGAGGGAAAAGTATCCTATAACCTCATTCTGTTCTGATCTTCTCTAGGCATCTGCTGACAGCTCCTGATGGAGCCAGGATGTTGGCAGAGAGGGTCTTTGGCATAATCGATGATTACCATTCTTACAAAATGCCAAAACACACTCTATTAATAGCTATTTACATGACAAGGAATCATTGCCCTGTAAATCAGCTTCTCATGCGAACAAAACCCACATCATTTTACCTTGAACATCACACAACAGGACCTATGACTCCTGTTTGAACTGTCACGCGTCCTAAGTAGGGATATCTGATTCTGATTTAAAGTTGGCGGGTGATGGAGGAGTCTATCACACTCCTTGAAGTATCTGCCTTCCACTACCAAGGCAATCTCACACTGGGCTTGTAAGACAGTACATAGATATTCAGCATGTGTGAATATGCACAAGGATTTTAAAATGTGGAAAAAAACCAAGTATTGCAGGTTTTTTTTACTTCTCCAAGCATGCATTCATATGTAAAAAGTAAGATTAAGAATTTGCACTTCAGTCCTATTCTTAACCTTATTCTGCAATTTTGGGTAAGCCACCTAAATACTACAGCTGAGATTTCTCTCAGGTGTGTGATGGGAACCAAAACACTTTCTTACAGTAAGAACTTCTAATGTCTTTTGATAGCCTTTGTAACAAATCTCCTATCACAAGCTTTTTTAGTCTTCTTTTTACAAAGTATTTGATTTAAAATAAAGAGAAGATATATGATAAAAGAACAGAAAATATACAGCAGGACAGACATAAGGAAGTGGTTTGATGAAAGAAGGGTGAGAGCACAGAGGAACTGAGATGGGGGAAGGGGAGAAAAGGGGAGAACAGCACTGGATGTGACTTTCCAAACAGTCTGGAAAATACTGCCATTCACACTGATACCACAGCTTTGCAATTATCAGCTTTTCCAGCTGTGAAAGCGTCTGATTAGGTTTTATATTTCTGGGGTCTATAAATATATCTTGGTATTTTTTTTTAAACAGAGATTGTGCTGTTTGCTTATGATATATTTAAAATCAGGTGTAAGAAGGGAAGCAGATGTACTTGTTTTCAAAACTGAAAGTCATAAAAAAAGCATGTAAAGATTTTGCTCTGGCTGATATACAGGAAGGAAGTAGTAATATTACAGATGGGAACAATATCCAAAACCTAGGCAACACGTAGTCTGTTGGCAGCTAAGCGACATACTTAGCAAACCAAGAGCAGCAGATGATTAAAACTCATTATACCTGTTCCATTCCAAAACATTTTAGGTACAACTTGTGTCTCTCCAAGCACTTACTGTATTAATGACATCAGGAGCACATCGTAAAATCTAAACAGCTAGTTTTATGCCAGAAGCTATAGCTGGACAACTTATTCAATTCCAGGAATCTCAGAATTATTTCCCACCAAGAGCAATGAATAAGATGATAAAACAGGCAGAAAACTTCTTTCAACAACCTACCCAAGTTGCTGCAGAATTCTCCTACCATGCCATCTGGGTTGGCAGTTGGGATTTGCGTAAGACCCGTCAGGATGAGAACATCACTGTTTTTAAGAGAAGCCTGGTCCATGGGCTGAAACAGAGTACAGTGAAATAAAATGAGTAACATGAGAGTCATAACACAGGTTTCTCTGCTCTCTACAAGAAGACTGCAATGCGTAATAGACGGTGGCCAAGAAGGAGAACACATGGTCCTCCATCTGTGGAAACCTAACTGGACTTAATAAAAACACATACAACTGTTTACCTGCACACTACAGCCCAAAACAAACAATAGAACTGTAACCAGATCCATCTCAAAGTAGTCTCCATAGACTAATCATTTCATGGCCTCAGGAGCTGAACACTGCAAAGGCAATAACTTGCTGAGAATGTGGCAGTATGGTCAGGAACGATTTGACACTTGAATTCTTATCTCTGGCTGCACTAGGTTCCAGCTCGCTTCCTTTGGCAAAGTAAGGTGCCAGCTTTGATTTCCAGGGCTCACTGTCTACAGGAGGCAATACCATTTTCCTCAACCTCTTCCAAGGAGAATCAGTGGATTCTCTTCAGAAGAGGTCAGTGAAGAAGCTCTCAATTTTGTGCAAGAATCTGAATGCTGCACAAAGCCTGCCCTTGGCTGGGGAGTCTGCTCTTCTGCCCACAGTGTTACAAGTATGACTTTCAAATAATCATTTAAGATTGTTTGTGCAAGGCTCTTCCAAAGTCTGTCCTTGTGAAATGGTAAATGGCAACTGCTGGTAGAAAAAACAGTTTAGATTCCTTAATATTGGGAAAGTTTATCTAAGAAATACACCAGTTTCTTTTTTTTTTTTTTAATACACCTATAAAATTAGGCCAAACAGACAAGTATTTCCATAACAGTCAGTAGCCGAAAACAGGTGAAAAATCATAGCTTCAACTGGACAAAAAACCCCATATAATAAAAGTAGTGCTCCCAATGCAACACCAGACCTAAAAGAATAGAGAAAATATAACTTGGCTTACCAGTCTCCCTAGTAAATCAGATTAGCACTATTCCCTCCTCCAATACCTTTCTTTGAAGACTGTACTACAGGCTAAGCTATGTCAAAGTGTAATAAATGTCTTCACAGGACTATGACCTCCAATGCGCTGGATCTACATTGAACGTCGTACTGATGACCTCTGGTCCTAGGCGCAATCCTAGATTTTGCGATTGAAGTGCTGGAGGTAGCTATCAAAAACATCTATCCATGCCATGTCTGCTTCCTGAGGGACAGAAGAGTTTCTATCCGCACAGTCTATCCTGTGACTCACAGCAGAGGGACTGATGATTAAACAGTCCAAGGAAACAGTGTAGCACCTTGGCCACTGGCAGGCAGCCTAATGTTAAAGCAAATGTTGCTCCTGCCTCAACTGTGCTTAAAGATTTGTTCCACTGAGGTCAATCATTTAACATGTTTTATATTGGCATTTTATTAAAGCAGAATGAAAACATACCCACTTCTCTCCATTAGCAAACATAGAATTGATATCCAGAAACAATACATAAGTTTGACCTGATATTAAATATATATTCATTATACTCAAAATTTAGCATAATCCAATCTTGAAAAGGCAAAATCCACTCCTCTCTCTGCAGATGCAGTGCAGCTATGGTGAAAAGTGAACTTTCAGCCTTGCTCTGTGCTGGGATGCACTTCCCACAGCTACTGTTCAAGCAAAGGTAGGTAACTGCAGCCAGATGTGTGGTACTTTATGGTTATGTATTCTTAATAGACTCTAGTCTCACCAACCAGGAAAGATTTTGACCAGAAGAGACTGACAAAGAGATTTCCTCTACAAGACCACTGTACCATTAATTTCCTTGCTCACAGCTCCTCAGTGCCATTCTTAAGTAGTTGAGAAAGACCTTGCTCTGTTAAAACATGCAGGGGAATTTCATATCAACTTTGACAGAAGTTTACGCTGTGCATCACCATGTTGGACCTGACCAAACAGGTGAGATTTATTGCAATCTTTGACTCTCCATCGTGTGTCTGTGAAAATGAAATGCCAATAATGCAATAAAAAATAATATCGAATCTGCCTGTGATAATGTACATAATGATTATCCCGTATTAGATACTCATAATTTCAGATGCTATTGCACTGAGAGGGCTTGAATTGATTTTGGGGGGTTAATGTAAAGAATATGTCTTGAAAGGCTTTTAGTGACATGTCTGAACCTGTACTGTCAACTCTTGCTCTCCACTTCAGTGGCAATTGGTGTCAATTCTATCCTCAGTGGAGGGTGAAGCAAAATTTTCAATAGAAACCATTTGCCAGAAGACAGAAGTAAAGGGAACAATTAATGATGCCAGAACTCTCAAAGAAACCTTTTCAAGCTGTTCAGTTACTTTCAGCAGCTATGAATACAATCTTGCTGAACCCTTCACCTGCTCTTCCTACAGACCGGCTGAGGATTTTGCAAGATATTCCTGCTACTGCATCCAGGATCGATCCAACGGCCAGCATTCACTGCACCCAGCTTCACCTAATCAGCACATCCTGGGCCATATCTAAGCTAAGCTAACTGCTTCACTTTCTACCAGTTGTTAATAGAGATGGACTGATTGCAGACATAAACTGCTGGTTTTTAGATGTAACCTAGATGTAACATAAAATGTCAAGAAAGCTTTAGGCTGCAATTTATGCCAAAGAAGCAATTTCACTCTCCTCCCGTGACTCCTAATTCCCATCAGTGCTGCCATCTCCACAATGTCAGCTCTTAAATCCCAGTGCTGGCAGAAAGGAAAAGGAGGAAAGAACTGGGTGGAGGCCCAGTTTTGGTCAGGTAAGATGAATCTTACGCTGTTTAAACCCTGAGAGAAGGAAATGCTTTCCAGGCTTGTCTCTATACTAGACAAGAAGTAAGAGGGCAAAGCATTTCTCCACTTGTATGGCCAAATAATCTGTGTCTTATGACCCTAAACAAATGGCTGATGAGAGCCTGGTCAACTGAAGCTTGCTTGTAATACCTATGGAGGAAATTCCAGAAGACTGGAAAAGTGCTAATGTTTTACTATTATACTCTGGATATAGTTTTACATAAACATATGCTGATTAACTGGATCTTCTTTTTGAAACAAAATGCAGTGACTGTTTTCATATGCTGTTAAAAGACAGGAATTTCATGATGACTGCTCACTATGGTTCTATGGAGAAACAGGTCAGAAACAACTTTTCAGGCCCTGAAGAAAAAATGCTGCTTTGTTGAACACAATTTTGACTCTGTGCCACTCAAGATATTGTTATCATTACATATTGTCTGTCAAACATCAAGCACATGAAGAGTTGGCTGGCAGCTCATAAAAACCACTAGTCATTACAGAATCACCATACTGTAGGAACTTGTACTGATGTTAACAGGGATTAACACTAGGACAAAAAACTATCCATTGTCTTAAAAACTATCTGGGAGCAAATGCAAGATGACGATGATATTTGATATGCAAAGGATATCTGGTAACATATTTGGTGTGGTTGTTCTGGGTTCAGCAGTAGCAGTCATTTTTCTCCTTCTTAGTAGCTGGTGCTGTGTTTTTGACTTTCAGCCTGGGAACAGCGCTGATAACACTGATGTTTTTAGCTGTTGCTCAGTAATGTTTACTCTGACCAAGGACCTTCTGAGTCTCATGCTCTGCCAGGGACGAGGGGAAGCCGACAGGAAGCAGAGACCGGACACATGACTGGAATACCAAAGAGGTATTCCATACCACAGAATGTCATGCCCAGTATATAAACTGTGGGCAGTTACCCAGAAGGGCTAGATTGCTGCTCAGGTCGGGCTGGGTATCATTCGATGGATGGTGAGCAGTTGTATTCTCTTCCCTTGTTATTTCCCTTATCATTATTATTATTGGTGGTAGCAGCAGTGGTTTGTGTTATACCTTAGTCACTGGACTGTTCTTATCTCAACCTGTGGGAGTTACATTCTTTTGATTCTCCTTCCCATTCCTCTGGGAGTGGGGAGAGGAAGAGAAGTGGGGAGTGAGTGAGTGGCTATGTGGCTCTGAGTTATTGGCTGGGCTTCAACCATGACAGCTCTTTGTGGCGCTCAACGTGGGGCATGAAGGGTTGAGATAATGACAGATCTGACCAGAGTGTGTCTAATTGTATTTGTGATAACATTCATTGTTTCGGATTAACAGTCACTCATCACAATGCTGATTTATTGGCTCTCAAAGTTGTTGCTCTTGGTCTCAGAGTTTCAGCATGTCACACCTTACTTACAGCCAGTATTTGCTGTTTTAGTGTTTATCAGCTGAGGGCCTTGGGCTAAGTTTCTTCTTTCGCTGTACTTTATGGTAATGACTTTTAATACAATAGACTCATTGATTATGAAACTGATCTGGCTTGCGTTCCCAGTGTGGTCATCACCTCTATACTTTGGGAGGAATATAATGGAGTATTTAGCAATTACACATCTTTCTTTTTCCTTTCCTTGGGGGTTCAATCTATGGAGAAGATATTCCCTCACACCCTCTGCTCCCTCACCAGGCTATTTACAGCGGGAGTAGATTCTGGAAGAGTTAAAGATCCTGAATATCCTTTCAATGGCCTTGAAAGCACCCTGCTCCTCTTGCTGGGAACCAGCTTGTTGCTGCATATGCTCTCTATGTTTTGCCTACGGCGTTACCACCCTGAGAATGCCCCATCTTGTCTGCTCAAAGAAGCTAAAAGGGCTGGGTTTGGGTGTTGTCTAGGGTTAGACAACGATATAGGAGGACCACCAAGATATTTTTGCAGAGGCTGGACAGTCATGAGTGGCAGGGTGTGTAGGACAGTATGGGCAAGTATCTAGTCCAGTGGGTCCCTCCAGTGCTTTGGAAGCATCGGAGATGGAAGGCAGCTGTATGGAGTCCCCAGTGACAAGTTGCAGAAACTGCTGAAGGAGAGGGTGAATCGAGTCAGTTTGTGTCCTGGGTTCAGCAGTAGCAGTCATTTTTCCCCTTCTTGGTAGCTGGTGCAGTGCAATGTTTTGACTTTCAGCTCGGGAACAGAGCTGATAACAAGCGATGTTTTGGTTTGGCCAAGGACTTTGTGAGCCTCATGCTCTGCCAGGGAGGA